ATTGGGCGCAATTCTGGGTAGTCTGGAAGCAACTCCTTGCGCAATATCACAAGACTAAGGTATATGATTACTTTGTGATGTCTTGGAAGGGCTCTCCTGACGGACCTCGAGGTTCCCCTGAGGCTCAGAAGGAGGTCGATCCAGAGGCTGCCGACATCGCGACAAGCCCCCTGCACCCCAAGCATGACCCCAAAGAGTCCGCCAAACTTTCACTACGTTACGCTATGATCCAGGAACGTGCGGCTGTGTGGGACATTTCCTCGGAGGGTTTTGCTGCCGAGTTCAAGGGACTCACTACTTATCTGCGCCTGGTTGCAGGGGAGATGGCGGTGTGAGATTCGTGGCTACTGCAGAAGGACAGCTGCCGTGATTGACAGTGCCTATGAGCTTGCTACGTGTTTCAAACTGAGGCCTGCGGCTTTAGGACGTGAGATATGGAGGCATGAATTCAGGGAGGACAATACACGTGCAGACGAGTTGACGCATGAGGCCAGATGTGGCCGCACCTTTTATAGAACCCGATGTTACCGATCCCCTTTTCGAAACTTATTTCTTGCCGTGCGCTATCAAGGGAGGCCTTGATGTCGGGGTGGACCAGCAAGGATCAGGATGTGTCTTCTGGCTTCAGATCGTCTGAATCAAAACTCAATGTAATCCCAGTGAGGTAGGTTTCGCTCCCGCGCGAACCGTGGGCTCTTTTTCAGCTGGGCATGAGTTAGCTGTTTCTAGTGCCGTTCCCCTCGTTTGGAGGGAGGCGGCCGAGGCCGCGTGGCTCCTAGACGGTGCTACGGTCACGGATTGTGAATTGTCGGCAGCCGGAGCGCTGCTTAGCGCTGCCCGGGTGCTCTTGCGGGACCTGTTCTCGCCCAGCTGCTCTCAGCTGGGAATGCGAGTCCAAACAAACAAACAAACGAACAAACAAACCTGGTTGACGGTTTACCGCCGGCTCCCAGTCATGCCGATATCCCTGCTTATCTCCAATATGCGTTGCTTGCACCACTTGCTTGCACGACGGGGTCTTTGGTGGTGGAGAGGATGGCGATTCACGAAATCAACTGGGACGTCTGCATTAGGACGGGAGGTCCCGAGGGGCCTTTGCTCTTCAACTTAAGTAGCTGTGCCTTGTGGCGCCCAGTATTTGGAGATTGGGACAGTCGTGGGGTGGGGTCCGTGCTGGAGTGTGTCTGCGGTGAGTATGAGCGACGGCTGACTGTCGACCAATTTGTGTGGGCGGACACTTGCTATCTCGTCTCGTCTTCGTCCTCCATGCTGGCTCAGATGATTCACGATCTAACCTTGCCACTACACAATCGGGGCATGAGATGGAATAATAGCAGTTTGCTTCACATGACATGTGGCGAGCTTGCGACGGTTGGTTGCAACGGAGAGATTCTTACTCGGGGGGATTTGGTGATCCCAGCGTGCACGCAGTTTGAAAGTTTTAGTCTGCGACGGGTGTGTAAGATCAGTGTCTTGGGCCAGGAGATTTACTTCGCGTACTTGCCTGCGCACCCCGATGTTGAATATCGAAAAAGGTTGCACGGGCTTGGTCCAATCGTGCAAGCGGATTTCTTTCGCAGTAGGACAGTGGCCATCCGCGACACATTCTTTCGGTATCATGATAAGGTGCAGAGTGTTGCTCTATACTGCTTGGAGACGTGCACTTCAGGTGCTTCCTCTTGACATATGTTGCCTGGTCTCAAGGGGTGGCGCCTGTGTCGTATGTGCCGACGGCCACGGAGAGAGGATGGGGCTACTGTGGAAAGGACTCGACGGCGCTACCATGAGTCGCGGGGGTCATGTCTACGGGTTTGCGACGTTGGTGCAGCGCTGCTTGCGCTCTGAGTGGGGCTCTGCTAAGGACGCGGTCGGCTTTATATTTCTCTTTCGTTGTGATATCCACGAGGAGCTGGTTTCCTCCCAGCGTACGTGGCGTGATCACCATATGGTCACTGTTGCCTTCGGTCCCTTTTGGGATAGACTGAGGACGGATACATCTGAGTTTCTTCGGGTGATATTTCGACTTCGCGAGGCATCACAACTCAAGCGCCGCCATGGCAGTTCTGGCAAAGCGGTGGGACATCGATCCTGGGCTTTCCCATTTCGTGAATTCTACGGACTGAAGTAGTGGGAGTCTTTTGTGCCGACGAACTCCGGATATCAATAGTTTTGCGAGCATCTCTGTACGCGGACTATGATTAGTAGTTTTCCGGAGAGGAAGGGGCAGGTCATCCCGCGTGGGGCTTTGAAGGATGTGCATATTGTTGCCCAACACGAACTTATGGAACCTGGAACTCTTGAGGGGACCCAGAACTACAACGACAAACTTGCGACGCGGATTGCCTTGCAAAATGTGAAGGAAGTTGTTTACGACCTCGACTCTTGTCAGATTCCTGTGTATATCTCTGGAGATAGTCTGCTGGTGGTGTCTTGGGTTCATGTTGTCTGGAGGGTTCTTAAACGTTTTATTCAGGATAGGACCAATCAGATGATTAACCAGTTGGATATGGTGTGTTTTATGTTTGAGATTCGGCCTGCCGCCCACGGGAGAGAGATTGTGGACCACGCATACAGGGAGTTGAACATGCGTGCAGCAGTGCTCACTCACACGGCCCGCTGCGGGTCACCAGTGTATCAGGACAGAATAGTGCAATACGCCCCAGAGCTTGATCAGGTGTTTCGCTTGTGCGCCATCAGAGCTGGATTTGATGGTGGTGTTTCTTGCGGCGGTGTGGGAGTCGGATGCTAGATCTATGTCGGGCGAGCATCGAGAGTCGCGAGGCAACCACTCTGCCACGATATCATGTGGACTGTGGTGTATAGTGCGGCCTTCTCCATTGATCCAACTTCGACGGTGACTGATGCCGAGATCTCGGCCGTTGAGCATGCGATTCTAGTCTTGCCGCGGGGTGTTCGAGCGTATTTCGGATTTGAGATGATGCGAGTTGTGATTGTTGGCCTTTCATGCCATGCTTGCGTGTGTGTGTGTGTGTGTGTGTCGGGCGTGCGCTCTTGATTTCACCTCCTCGTTGGAGCTCTGGCTTTCGCCTTCCTGATCGTTGGATCGGTTAGGCTTCGCCTGCTCACGATGCGTCCGCCACTTGCTAGCGACTAGGCATGGAAAGCTTGCACCGTCGACCGTAAAGACCGAAACAGAAAGACCTGGTTGACGGCTTACCGCGGGCTCCCAGTTCCGGCGCGGGGTGGAGCTAGTTGGCCCTCTTGGCCCTGGCGGACAGTGTGTCAACCTGGGGTCGGTTTTTGGAATATTGTGAGAGATTCGACCGTTCTTGTTGAGAATCCAGATTTTGATTCCCTGTAGTCGATCATGGCGCGTTTCATGGTGAAATCCTCGAATGCATTCATCGGGCTTTCAAGCTGATGTTGAAGTAAGCTTTCTTGTCGTATTCTGAGCACTAGCTCGCGTGTCAAGAGCTCTACGAGGGTCCCGGCGGTAACCTGGTGTGGTTGTGCGTGCACGTGTGTTGAATAAGAGCTTCGCTTGATCCTTCAAAGTAGGTCATTCGTTGCTTCCTTGATTTGAGTGCTCATTGACCTTGGAACGTGACTTTCCGTGATTTGTCACGTGGTGCCTCAAAGTAGGCCTTTGATCTGGTCGACACTACGGTTGCCTCAAAGAAGGGCGACACTACGGTTACCATGATCACTTGCATGTTGTGATTGTTTCTTGGTCTGTGATGCTCTCTCGTCGCTCTTCGCTTCATTTGTAGCGGCGACGTGAGGTGTAGTAGATACTTCAAGAGTATCACGTTCTTCAGGGTACATCCAGCCCGCAGGGGATGGCTGCAACAACCCGACCGCCCTTGCAGGGCCCCGTGGTCGGACCGCAAACCGCAAAAACCTGGTTCACGGTTGACCGCTGGCTCCCAGTCGATGAGCTAGAGGAATTCCGGCGCGGGGTGGAGCTAGTTGGCCCACCCGGCCCCGCGGACACTGTGGCAACCTTTTTTTTTTTTTTTGAGATTGTGAGAGATTTGGCCGTTCGTTTTGGGGCGCCCGATTGTTATTCCCTGTATTCGATCATGACGCGCTTCATGGTGCACTTCTCAGGGTTGTAGCTGCAGCGCAGCTTTCGAACATTAGGAGCAACCGTCGGTCGCCGGGATAAATATTTCCCAGATGATAACGGCTTCGAGAACTTAGCTGAAGTAGGAAGCAAGCTACACAGCCCCAGTATGTTTGGCACCTCTAGGTTATGGCGCGTCGGCCTGTCGAATTCCCAGGTCCGTAGCTGTAGTATCATGATAGAGCACTTGACGGAACCAACTTCGTATAACACCGAAAGGACATCTATTTTTTCTAGTTTTTAAGCTGATATTCAAGCAAGCTTTCTTGTCGTATTCTGAGCACTACTTCGCGTGTGAAGAGCTCTACGAGGGTCCCGGCGGTAACCTGGTTGACGGTCTGCCGGCTCCCAGGGAAGACGCCTGTAGTTAGTCTGTTACCAGAGCTGCGACCGATACCACTACTCGCACTCTGCAACTTTTCGAGCGATAATGTTGGTTTTCTCTAGTCAACTTGAGTTTTAGCTGAGCCACGGTGCTGATGTGCACATTTCCCGACAGGAAATGATCAGGAGCGTTAGTCTACAGGATCGAGACGTCTGAGATCGGTCCGCTACCAGAGTTGCGACTGACAAATAAGTAGCACTCTGTAGATTTCGGAAAAAACGATACTTGCTTCCTCTGCTTAGTTCGACCTTTTGGGGAGCCACGGAGCTGACGCACGCCAATCGAGAGGAAATGATCAGACGCGCTAGTCTGAAGTACCTAGACGCTTTAGATTTGTCAGCTGCCAGAGCTGCGACCGAAAAGCTGTTCGCTCTTTTCAAAGTTTTGAGATGCGATGCTGTTTTTCTCTATTCAATTCCAGCTGTAGGCAAGCCGCGGAGCTGGGAAGCACAGCGTTCGAACGGATAAGGTCAGAAGCGGTAGTCTGGAGTATCGAGACGCGTGCGACCGGTCTGCTACCAGAGCTGCGAGCAGCTATTTTTATTCTGCAAACAGCTACCAAGTAGTCAAACACATCATTCGGCCGCTTCCATGAAGCCGCACATCCTCGCGCGCGCTGAATGCGAGAATGCCACGCTCGCATGCCATTCAGATCTTATAGTTATACGGCAACGAGGCTCTACGAGTCCCCAGCGTTTGTATGACTCTTTGCGGTCGCCTTTTGTTGCAACCTGGCGTGGGAATGTGGGTTTATCTGGATTATTTCAGTTTTTGCTCTATGGTCGAGTTCTCATTGATGGATCTTGTCGTTTCTTTGATTGCTTGATTTTGGAGGCTTGATTAATTAGTAACTCGATTTGGCCACTCTCGTTGTTGTATAAGAGCTGCGCACCCATGTCTGTGTGTTTGGGTATAAGAGTGCCCTGCTGCGTGCCCCTCGTTCTCTGCTTCTTCTTTCCTGCTCTGCTCTTTCCCGTCTGCTGCGCTTTGTGTCTTGTTTCCCTTGGTGCCTGTCGTGTGCTCCAATTTCGGAGACGAGCACCTGCTCCTGTGTGGATTTGCGTCGGGGCGCAGAGCAAACGCAAAAAATCAAGGTTGACGGTTTATCGTCGGCTTCCAGTGCCGAGAGCCCAAAAAGTGCCGAGAGCTGAAAAGGCTAAGAGCCGACAATGGCAGAGAGCGGTAAAGTGTTCTGGGTGGCCTGGGTGTTGAGAGTCAGGAGTCGCCGAGAAGAGCCGAGAAGCGCTCAGAGCCAGGAAAGTGCCGAGAGCCAGGTCGACCCGGTTCTGTGCCGACGAATGCCCGCCGAGAGTCTGCCGGTCGATGCCGCGCTGAAGCAGCGTGTGGATGCCGAGCTCGCCCGTGCTCGCATCTTTTCAGAGAGCGCATCTGGGGCCTCCGTAACGCTCTCCTTCGTCTCGCCGACAAGCAGCCTATCCAGGTTGGCAGTGATGCGGCAATTTTTGGAGTTGCCATCATCAGAGCCTGCGCCAGATGGAATTGTCGCCGTTCGGGAACATGCAGTGAAAGCCAAGCCAACTATGCGTGTCTTGGAACTGCAGCGCTGCAGTACAGTCTCCAGTCCAAACCCCATGTGCCGTTGAGGCGCGTCGAGCGTGGACGATCAGTGGGGTCTCGCATCGCGCAGGAAAGATGTGCGTCCTGGAGGCCCTTGAGCTGGACATTGGATTGCAGTCATCTGAACGCGCTGCCAGAGGCAGCGTTGTGGCCTTCGGCCAGTGTTGCTTCGCAAGTGATTGCATTTTAGCATGATTCTTCACCTGGCCGCCACCAACGCCGGACGCCGAACATGCAGGACGACCCCAAAGACACCACGCGGCTACAGCCGGCTGCAACAGAGCACTCGGAACACTTGGACCAGCAGGATTTCGCCAAGTACGCATCTCTCTGAGTGGGCGGCCGAGGCGTGCAATGTCTCACGCGAGGCCGGGGCCTCGCCCGCATCTGAGGGGCCCGGGCGCGCGCCCGCACGGGCGTTCTGTTATGTTCTATCCTCTTGCGTTCTCTTTCTTCATGACCTCTGTCGGAGTTGCCGTCCACCCATTGGGCTCCAGACTACACTAGATCAACATCCAGACATCCAGCCTCCAACATCCGACGCCCCACACCACCTCTATCCAGATCGACCGCCAGTCCCAGGCCGACTACTGAGGGCTCCGGCCCCCCCGCGCCGCCCTCATAGGGCCGGTCACGCCGGACCGACATTGCGCGCTCTCTCTCTCTCTCTCTGTCGGAGTTGCCGTGCCACAGTAATCTTCTCTCTAGTGCAAACCCGGTGTGCTTTCGAGGTTCGTCTGCCGTGGGCGAGCCAATAGGGTCCAGCATCGCGCAGGAGCAATTTGCGTGTTGCAGGCCCTTGTAGCTGGACGTGGGATGTACAGGTATATGTATATGCATATGTGTTTGTCCATGTGGTGTAAGTACATGTGCATGCATGAGGAGTTGCACATGTGTATGTAGAGGCGTAGTTTAGATGTAACAAGTAGTTATGATGTATATGTACATGTACGGGTCCATGTCTATGAGAATATGTATGTGTATGCATGGGCATGTGGATATATAGTTACGTTTGTGTATGCTGTCCTATATATGTGTGTGTGTGTGTGTGTGTGTGTGTGTGCGCTTCTGTATGTGTATATGTCTATTCGTATGTACACGCGTACTTATAGATATGCGTATTCGTATGTTTTTGTGCATGTGTGTATTCATTGTATACACACAAACACGTTTGTGTATGTGTATAGCCATGTGGATAGTATATGTACATGTCGATGTTTATGCATGTATGTCTACTGATATGTATAGGTACAGGCATGTGTATGTGTGTATATATGCATGTATCTGTACACTTTTGTGTACGTTTGTATATGCTTTTGTACATGTACATGTACTTGTATTTGTAAATGCAAATGTGTGTGTATGCATGTGTACGTCTGTATGTATATGTGTGTGTGTCTATGCATTGGTGTATGTACTCTTTTTTGTATGCATGATTGCGTTTATGCGTAGGCGTACACGTAAATGTATATATGTGTATACACATGTATGTGTGTATGCATATGTACCTATATACATGTATTTGCGCATGCATGTGTATATGTATATACACATATGTATAATCACGCGCATCCGTTTGTGTTTTCTTTCCGGTGCACGTGCATGTTTTTATGCCTGCATGTGTATACATATGGTTCGGATTTGTCCACTCTCACGTATCGGTTTACATTTACATATACAGGTACATACACAAACATACACCTATGTTTGCGTACGTGTGTACGTGTATGTGTATGTGCACTTGATGTGCAAATGCATGTGTACTTGTATGTGTATGTGTATGTGTATGTGTATGTGTATGTATACGTGTTTGTGTATGTATGTGTGTGTGTGTGGGGGTATGCATGCATGCATGCAAATATGTATGTATGTGCGTATGTATGTGTATGTATGTGTATGTATGTATGTATGTATGTATGTATGTATGTATGTATGTATGTATGTATGTATGTATGTATGTATGTATGTATGTATGTATATGTCTGTATGCATGCATGCATGTAAGTATATATGCAGGTATGTACCTACGTATGCACACACAACTGTATATATATATGTATGTGTATGTATGTATGTATGTATGTATGTATGCATGCATGCATGCATGCATGCATGCATGCATGCATGTATGTATGTATGTATGTATGTATGCATATATATATGTATATATATATATATATATATATGTAATAGACCCTTGGCAGGGGCCATGACACCCTCCCTGATTTCCCCTTTTTTTGGGCCTGCGACATCATTGACCCCTTCCTGGGGCATCCCGACCTACCCCCCGCCGTTCAAGACAGCTCCGGAGGCCACCAGAAAGAGACCAGAGCGGCCTGACAGGGCCTCTGACGCCTGAGTATTGTTTCAAGGCGGCTCATGAGGCCCCGAAGACGTCTCAAGAAGTGCCATCACAGGAACTGTATATTTTTGCATATTCGCAGTTTGGGTCTTAACAGCGTCGAGAACGGCCCAAGAGATTGTAAAGATCGAGCCCAGACGGCCCAAGAGGCCCCCGAGATGTCCAAAGGACGGCCCAAGAGAGCCCCGAGACGATCCAAGAGGTGCCCAAGACGGCCCAAGAGGGCCCCACGAGGGATCTGAAACGAGGAACTCTTTCGAGCTCTCCGCTCCCAGTGGGCCGCCAGGGAGGCAATAGGCCCGCAACAGGCCCCTGAGAGGACCCTAAAGGCCCCAAACGGCTCCCAAGAGGTCCCAAGAAACTTCAAAGGTCGCTCCACGAGGCGCCTGGGTAGCCTGCGAACTGACACCGAATTGAAGGTATCCCAACAATCCTCTGGCCCCAAACTCAGGCACAGAATCGGTAAGGGCCGAAGGCTATCGATAAGCAAGCCGTTGGCTTGGCGACGGACCCATCCCTATGCAGTCATGTGTAGCGCACGGCGCGGATCTTTCTCCATGCACTGCGCGCCGCAGGGCAATGCGGAAAGCGGGCTGCTGCGGAGCATGCGTGCACGGGTGCGCTGCACCCCTTGCGGGGCACGATCCGCGTGAAAGGTGTTTCGAATGATTCGGATGCCCCCGCGCGAACACGCCCACTGAAGCCGCAGGCGGACCTCCTCTGGGGATGGCCCGTGCGATGCATGTTCCGAAGCTGGCGGAGGTTCACCATGCGAAACAGCCCATTCGTGCCACAGGTGGAGCTCCTTGTTGGGCACGATGAGAGTGACGGGTGTGCCGACATGGGCGGGGGGGCGCTGTACGAATTTTGTCTCTGGGCTTCTAGGTGGTGTTCCAAGTGTGCACGATCCTACCGCCGTAGCCCGAGTGGCGCCTGCACCAGCTTCGACTCGCTTGCACCGCTCACTTAAAAAAGTGTCCACGAGCCGCGTGATGGGTTGTGTCGCTCTGGGCGGGGGGGGCGCAATGCGAACCCTGCCTCTGGGGTCGTAGGTGGAGATCCCTGTGGGCCACGATCCGTTTAAAATGGTTGCCGACGTAGGCGGGGGGGCGGGATGCGAACCTTGTGTCAGGGACCGTCCGTGGAACTGGTTGCGGCCGCGATCCGTGTGAGAGGTGTGCCGAAGTGAGCGGGGCGACGCTATGAAGCTTCCGTCTGGTGCCGCAAATGAAATTACTTGCGGGGCACGATCTGCATGAAGGGCGTGTCGCTGCGAGAGCCTCTAGGGATGCCGGTGAAGCTCCTTGTGGGACGCGATTCCTGTAAGGGGTGTGTTGACACGGGCGGGGGGACGCTAAGCTAAGTCTGCCGGTGAAGCTCCCTGGGTGGCACGACCCGTGTGACAGTATACGTCCTCCGATGCCGAACGCCTTAGACTACACTTAGAGCTTGCTAGAACCTAAGCGCGCGAAACGCGCGCGTGGTTCTAGTATGCATCTACACATCTGTATGTATTGGTATACGTGTGCATGTATGATGTATGCATGCATGCATGCATGTATGTATGCATGCATGCATGTATGCATCTAGGCATGCATCTACGTATGCATATATGTATGTATATATGTATGTGGGTATGTATGCATGTATGTATGCATGTATGTATGTATGCATGCATGCATGTATGTATAGGTGCATACATGAATGAATGAATGAATGAATCCATGTATGTATGTATGTATGTATGTATGTATGTATGTATGTATGTATGTATGTATGTATGTATGTATGTATGTATGTATGTATGTATGTATGTATGTATGTATGTATGCATGTATGTATGTATGTATGTATGTATGTATGTATGTATGGCTGTATGGCTGTATGGCTGTATGTATGTATGTATGTATGTATGTATGTATGTATGCATATGGCTGTATATGTTCACACACATTGTACACATGCATACTTGTACATATATACACATATATACACGCTTGTGAGAACGTGTGTGTGTGTGTGTGTGCGTGTGTGCATGCATCGCGTATCTGACTGTCGCCGCACTCATCCACGGTCGCAAATGGGCCCCTCCGGAGCTGTTTTGGGGCGATCTGGAGGCCCTGATTGGCTGTCTTGAGGCCGCTCCGTGGAACCCCGCCTTCTTGCATGCCTCTTGGGCTGTCTTGAGCACCTCTCGGGCCCTCTTGGGCACCTCTCGATGCCCTCTTGATCGCCTTGTTGGCCCTTTTGGAACGTCTCAGAGGCTCGGAAAGCCGAAAGGGCCAGAATGCGAACTTCGTATCATAACCTAACGCAAGTCAAAGACGTTCATTTTTGGGGTGCTTCTTGGGTGTCCACTTGGGGCCCCTTTCGGCAGTCTTGGGAGTGTGTTGGGCTGTCTTATGGCCATCTTGGGGCAATACATATTGGACTGTCCTTGGCCCATCTCTGCCGTCTTGGGGGCCTCTTCATGGCCTCTTGGGGCCTTCCTGAAGCCTCTGCGGCCGCCGTGGGGCCAGCTGGGGCCGCCTTGAGCCCTTCTGGGGCGCTCGTGAACCGGCGGCCCCATGTGCGTTTGAACTGATTGTACTAGTACAGCTACTACCAGTCTTGTGTTTGTAGAATCAGTCAATGGGGAGTGCTGTGCCCCTTTCGTTAGTCTACCGACGCCAATGAGAGCTGGTGGGGCTTACGTCCTTCCATACGCCCTTCCTGACCACATCGTGTTCATGCGGCTGTCCGTCCAGTCGTCTGTCCGTCTGTCCCCTTTCTGCTGTGGGTCTCTCCTCGATGCCCGTTGCACCTCGGCTTCAGCTAGCTCTCTGATTCAGGTAGCAGCTCGGGGCGGTCCGTTCACCGCTCGGCGACGAGCGAGGGGGGGAAGTGAGAAGGGAAGGCCGTCTCAGAAGGCCGCGGGACTTTCCAGAAGCCCTGGAGCCTCGACCCCCAGCCCCTCCCGGGGTGCGTCCCGACCAGCATCTCGGGGCGAGTCCAGCCATCGCGGCGAGGAGACTCCCCCGAGGCCCGAAGAGCCTCGCCTCCCCCGAGGCCCGAAGAGCTCCAGGACCGAGCCCGAGACGCTCTCGGGTGCCCACCTCCCGGCCTCCGCCGGCCGTGCTGCGGCAGCGATGTTCCGGCGGCCCCCCGCCCCGCCGCTGGTGGTGCTCCTGCCCGTGGTGCGCGCCCGCAGGCACGGGGCCCTGCCCGGGCCGCGGCAGGCGCCCACGGCCAAGGAGCTGCGGCGGCTGCGCGTCCTGGCAGGCGCCGCGGCCGGCGTGGCGGCCACGGCCCTCGCGGGCCACGGCAGTCGGCCGTGGAGCTCCGCGGCCTGCGCGGCGGCGGCCGCGCGCCCCCCCTGCGTCAGTCGGGGGAGCGTAGGGC